TCCGTCATCCACCTCAGTGGGACCGCACTCGCCTGGTTCGAGTCCTACCTCACAAAACCGCCAGCAGTACATCTGCACAAACGGCTTCTCCTACCGCTCTCACCTGGTCACCTGCGGGATACCCCAAGGATCCATCCTTGGCCCTTTCCTCTTTCTGATCTACATGCTCCCTCTTGGAGATGTCATCCGCAAACATGGGGTACATTTCCACATGTACGCGGACGACACCCAACTATATTTTTCAACCTCTCTTTGCGACCCCCAGTCCCCTAATGTTCTGTCAGCCTGCCTGTCAGATCTCAGGGACTGGATGAGCGCAAATTTCCTTCAGCTAAACGTTGACAAGACGGACGCCATACTCTCATCAATCTCACGGCTCTCACCTCCTCCACCTACCCGACCTCCCACTAAAACTCTCCGAACCCGTACGCAACCTAGGCGTCAGGTTCGACCCCCAATTATCCTTCCTCCCCCAAATCCGGTCCCTCACCAGCACCGCCTTCTTCCACCTCCGACACATCGCCCGCCTCTGCCAATACCTCTCTCCGAAAGCCGCTGAAACCCTAATCCATGCCTTTGTCACCTCTTGGCTGGACTATTCTAACGCCCTCCTTGCCGGTCTCCCATTTACTACCATCCATAAAATCCAGATCATTCAAAACTCTACTGCCTGCATTCTCATCCGCACGAAACTCTGCTCCCCGATTACCCCAGTCCTTGCCAGACTGCACTGGCTGCCTGTCCCAGAGAGGATCGACTTCAAGATCCTCATCTTCGTATTCAAATCCCTCCACTCCTCTGCACCACCTCTGACCTCCTCTCTCCTCAAAACAGTACCTTTTGCCTTTGTTCCTCCGGGTCTGGTCTCCTCCTTGTCCCCCGAGTCCTCTGCTCCACCCTCGGCGGCCATGCCTTCAGCCACTATGCCCCGAGGCTCTGGAACTCCCTTCGTCACTCCCTTCACCTCACTCCCTCTCTTTCCATTTTCAGGTCTCTGCTGAAGACATTTCTCTTTGACTGCACCTTTGGTCACCTTCCTCCCCCTCCCCCTGGCTTGGTGCCGGGATCCGTTACTGTAAAGCGCTCTGAGACACCGTCCAGCGTGGAGGGTGCTACATAAATCCAAGTTGTTGTTGTTGTTGAAGTTAGTTAGTGCATTGATCAGTTAGTACATGAATTAGTTACAAGACCAATTAGTACATCAATTTGTTACTACATTAATTAATTAGAAAAATAATTAGTTAGTAAATTAATTATTTGGGACATTAATTAGTGGGTGCATCTGTTAGTTAGTGAATTAATTAGTCAGTACAATAATTAGTTGGAAAATAAATCAGTTAGTACATCGGTTAGTTAGCACATCAATTAGTTAGCATATTAATTAGTTAATCCATGCATTGGTTAGTAGATTGATTAGTTAGTACATTAATCAAAATAATAATAATTTGGTCTCTCAATCCACAACTTTTTGTGGGACATTGCTGTGCGCAATTGATTGCCGCGTTACACCCACAAAATATACAGTTTACAGTATATCCTGTGAGGCACTTTGAGACGTTGCGAAGACTTGATAAGGCACTATATCAAATTCAAGGATCGTTATTATATTATTATGAATTAATTAGTACCTCAATTAGTACGTTGATGAGTTGGTACATTGATAAATTAGTGCACTGATTAGTTATCCCAATGTTTGGTTATTGCAAAGATTCGTTCAATGAGTAGTTAGTACATTGATTGGTTGCTTTATAACTGTGAGTGTGTGTGTGTGTGTGCACATCTCTCACCACCCATGGAAACCCTTGACTGTCCAATGCCTTGGGATGCTTCCCGATGTGAACGGCAATCTTGCTGTTGTAACTGTCTGTGCATATGTGCATGTGTACGACTTTCTAATCGTGTGTATGTGTACGTGTCTCTCTTTAACAAGACCGTGTCAGAATGCTGTGCTTTCTCCGCTCCCGCACTGAGCACAGTATGTCACTGAGCTCCATCAGCTCAGTTCATCCATTCTCTCCCTCACTGCCTCCCTGCTCCCCTGTTATGGGTGGGGGGGGGGGGGGGGGGGGCAGTGGGTGCTGTCAGGTTCTGCCTGGGCTCACGGATCTGCAGAGACGAGGGGCCATCATCACAGACTGCAGCAAATGAATCCGGCCCCAGGGGGGGATCCACTGGGAGGTCAGTGTGCACAGGTCAGCAAAGCCAAACCCGCAGCTTCTCAACATAAGCTCGTGTGGGAGACTGTGACCAAAACCACTGTTTCTAAACAACATGTGTGTCTCTGTGTGGGGCCTCGTATGTGTGTGTATGGAAGTGTGTACGCGTGCACGGATGTGTATGTGCGGTGTGTGCTCCTGCGTGTGTTTGTCCTTGTGTATGAATGTGTGTGTGTGTGTGTGTGTGAGTGTCGGGAGTAATGAGAGCTGTTGTGTGACAGAGGATTCAGGTTAGCAATGACAGCACTGTTGATCATTGCAATCACTGTATGATCGAGGTCGGGAAGCAATGGGGCCGACTGACAGCCGGGACCCAGCTAACCAGCATCTCTTCCATGGGATGAGACGAACGGTCTGAACAGCACGGACATCATTCCTATTGCAATGACACAGTAATGCGGGGCTCTGGGGGGGAGGGGGAGGGGGGGGGTGTGTGTGCTCCGAGCACAAGTTACCAAAGGCCAATCTCACTTCCCCCCTCCCCCAAGACAAGCTCAATAAAGCAGCTTCTCTGAACCCTGAGACCCAGTCGCTGGGATGTGTGTGCTCTTTACTACCTCTCATTATTTGTACGCACCTCTCTCTCTCTCTGACTTAATCTCCTCTCCTTTTTTTAATTTGTCCACAAGGACACTCGCTCCATTTGGCTCATCAGCAGGACCTGGAAGGGCAGACCAGTCACTGGGGGCAGGGAGTCATCCCACTCAGCTCCTGTTAACCCTGCAAGCCAAAGCCCTGAAGGGTAGGGTGGTCCTAGCTGGACAAGCAGCGGAAAGCTTGCCGGACAGCAATATCAATGGCAAGCTGTGCGGTTTTAGTTGGTTAGACTCCAGCAGTACCCCCAACACACACACTCTGGGATCCCCAAACCTTGGATCTTGGGAATGCCAACCTGCACCTAATACTTTCCAGAATTATATCAGCAGGATGCATCCCTCCAGGAAGAGAGTGCGCATTCCATTCCATTCCAACAATCTATCTCTGGGATTTCCATGTGTAGGTGGGATAAATGGAAATCTAAACTTGGTTTGGATACTCTCAAAGCATAGCGATGGGTAATATAGCTTCCCATTTATGGTTGCTATCTGCCAGTCCCAAATTTACTATGTATTTACACCGACATGCTCATCACTCCTCAAGACATTGAGAATTGTAAGCCTGGCTCAGTCACTCACACCCTCGCCTCTGAGTCAAGAGGATGCGACTTTGAGGCCTTCCCCCATGTCCCCACGCAAGAGCCTTTGAGCTCATAGTCCAGGCTGACACTCCAGGGCAGTATTGGTGTGAGAGAGCGCCGCGGTTTATCAAAGACGCCATCCTTTGAATGAGACAATAACCAGGGCCAGTCTGTTCCTGTTCAGGTGGACATTAAAGATCCCGAGGCGCTGATGGACAAGAGAAGGGAGTTTCCTGATTTCGCTATCCCTTCCTGGTGTCCTGATTTTACTGACCAGGCTGGTTACTAACTCATTACAGTGACCTCTCCACCTTTCCTTCTCCTCCCCACCCTCCCACTTCTCTCCTCCCTCCCCCACCATCTCTCCCTCCCACCGTCTCTCACTCCCTCCATCTCTCTCTCCCTCCCCCCAGTCTCTCTCTCCCTCCCCCCTCTCCCTCCTCCCCCATCTCTCTCTCCCTTCCCCCTTGTCTCTCTCTCCCTCCCCCCGTCTCTCTCTCCCTCTCCCCCCGTCTCTCTCCCTCCCCCCCCGTCTCTCTCCCCCGTCCCTCACCCTCGCTCCTCCGTCTCTCCCCTTCCTCTCTCCCTCACCCCCCTCCTCTCTGCCCTTCCCCCCTCTCTGACTTCCTCCCTCCCATCTCTGTCTCCCTCCCTTCCCCCCTCTTTCCCTCCCATCCCCCCCCTCCCTTCTCTCTGCCTCCCCCTCTCTTTCCCTTCTTTCCCTCCCTCTTCCCTCTTTTTCCTTTCCCCCTCCCTCCCCTTCTCACCCCCCACCCTCCCTCCCAACTCCCATCTCTCTCCCTCGTTTCCTTATATACATAAACCAAGAGAAATGTAGTGACTTATCATTTTTTTTTATTGTCAGCCTTGCCTATGAAGTTACTTTCACATTTTTCATCCGTCTATAATTGCCAAAAAAAAAACTTTTCGAGGAAAGGGGGAAGAGAGAGGGGCAGAATGATTACATTACGTTCGCCGACAAAAACACACAGTCACTACACTTCCCGGCGATTCCTGTGAAGCTCTCCCTGGGTCAAATATAAGGGTTATTTAACATATCTCTTAGATATTTCATTAACATACAGAACAAACCAGCTTGATTGCATAAACATTAATTTTTTTGTGTTTGTTTTTTTTAAAAAAAACTCTCTGGCTCACCTTTCCTATCGTTGGCACCACAGAGCAATCATATATTATATATCTTTTTTTTTTGCAAAATACATCGTTTAATCGAAACGGCAGAGATCCATGCAATAGAGAAACGGGCGGGTAACAAATAAATAAATAACATGTAACTGCATTTCATTATTATCAATAACAATTAATAATATCACCTTATTCTTTAAAAAGCGTCTCTCCAAACCTGAGATGGATCGAGAGTTCTTCTGAAGATATATTCACCTCCAACCCCTCCCCTCCCACCCCGCAAAAAAAAAAGAAAGAAGAATACTACTGTGTCGGGGTTTTTGCTGGTTTCTTTTCAACACAATATGACATGATACACATCTGCATGCAACCCCCCCTCCCCCCCCGGCAGATCCCAAAGCCTCGGTTCATTTGTGCTTGAAAGAGAAGACAAAAGATTGGCGGCCCGCGGGCCAGACGGGTTACTTGCACGGCTTGTCCTCCGCCGGCTCGGCTGCCGACGATCGGGAAAAGTTGTCGTGCAACTTCCTGACGTGCTTTTTCAAGTCAAAATTCCGGCAGAAACCTTTGCCACAGGTCGCACAGGTAAACGGTTTCTTGTCGTTGTGCGTGTGCATGTGAAAGGTGAGGTTGTACACCTGGTGAAACGCCTTGTTGCAAATGTTGCATTTGAATTGCTTTTCCTCGCTGTGAGTCAGTTTGTGGTTTTTGTAGTTACCTGACACCAACAAAGATCTTTCGTTAATTGCAACGTTTTTTTTTAATATAAATAAATCTTTTTTTAAAAAAAAATATCCAATTTTCAAAAGAGAAAAAAAAACGTTCGTTTTAATAACTACCCCCCCAAAAAAAATCAATCAATCAAGAATTTGCCTGAATTCGCCTGAATTCATGCAATGCTTCAAGAATTTCGAGTAAATCTGGACCCAAAGTAAAATTTCGCCCACAACCTCCTTCCTTCCTCGCCGTTACACTGACTTAACTTCAAAATATAGGGTTCAATCTGCAGACGTTTGAACACAGTCAATCGCTTTGCTTTGAAGCCTCACTCACTTGTTGAGAGACCAGAGATCGATGTCACACCACTCGCCGTTTGCAAATTATAACGACAATAACGATCGTTGCATTTCGCAGAGTGCGTTGTCACTCCATCGAGAAGTCCCAAAGCACTTGACAGGATTTGCTGTGGGAATGGTTTTGAGTATATTTTGTGGGCGAAACGATTTTTTTTCGCGTGGGGGAAAAAAAAAGTTTTTTTTTTTGGAAACCACATTTATTTTTCGAAACTGCTATGACACCGGGAAAGGCAGTGAACACATTGCTCCGCTTTAAACCCCAATTTAACTCCCGAAATGACAGTGAACTCTCGTCTCACCCTGGACTGTGGGGGGTGGCAGATTGACCCCGTTCGCCTTCCACTTTCATTTCTAATGTATTTTATGCTCGTAGTACAAATACCTTCTGTGAAACAATAATTATACGATCAGAGAAGCGCGTTATCGTCGTAAAAAAAAGTTCTCCCAGAGCAGTGTAAGGTGTTGGATCTTATTAATAGATTTGGTGAATTAGGTAAAATTCACCAAATCTGAATTTTGTGAGTCCTGTAGCTCAATGGTTAGAGCACTCGCTTTGCAAGTGAGACACCTGAGTTCAATTCCAGGCAGTGCGAAACCTTGGGCAAGTTTCCTTACTCCACACACCTAATAATAATCCCTCAAAACCAAAAACAATAATAAATTGGTCATTTTCAATCCACGACTGTTTGTGGGACATTGCTGTGCGCAATTGGCTGCCGAGTTCGCCCACAAATATACAGTCAACTCACATTACAGTGTGTTCTGTGAAGCGCTTTGGGACGTCCTCCCGACGTGAAAAGCGCTATATCAAATGCAAGGATTATTATTATTATTATTATTATTAAAATGATGCACAGTAACTTCCTGATAACTCGCCGCCCAGAGGGAAAGGAGGGCTCGGTGATGAGCTATCAGGAGTATAATTTGCCGCTCAGGATAACTCATCATTGAACCCCGTTTCCCCTCGGAGCGACAAGTTATCAGGAATTTACTGCACACCAATTAACTCCTGATAACTGGTCATCACTCCGAGGGAATATATGTATAAGTACATAAATAAATCCAGCTGTGATACTGACAGCAGTGTGACTGCAATGGTAATGACCAGGTAAGCCAGGGGCGAATTGTCAGGAGTTTATTGTGTATACATATTATATATATATAATATATATATATTGTTGTCCTTCCACTAACACCGAACCCACCTTTTTGATGAAAGCCTTTGCCACAGAACTCACAGACAAAGGGTTTGTAACCCGCGTGGATTCTGCTGTGAGTGTTCAGAGTGGAGCTCCGGTTAAACGCTTTCCCACATTCATTACACTTGTGTGGTTTTTCCTGTTCACAATTTAAAACAAAATCAGACTTTAATGGGAAACACAGCTTGAGCAGACATTCACTCACTGTCACTCCCTCTCTCCCTCCTTGCCTCTCTCTCTCTCACACACACACACACACACACACACGCACACTCACTCACTCACTCCCTCCGTCCCTCACTGACTCACACTCGCTCACTCACACTCTCTCATTTTCTCACTCACTCTCACTAACTCATCCACTGACTGTCACTCTCTCACTCACTGTCACTCACTCTCTCACTCACTGTCACTCACTCTCTCACTCACTGTCACTCACTCGCTATCATTCACTCACTCTCTCACTATCACTCTCATTCACGGTCACTCACTGTTACTCTCTCTCTCTCATTCACTCACTTATTCGCTCACTGTCATTCACTCACTCACTCACTCACTCACTCACTCACTCACTCACTCACTCACTCAGAGCTGCCCGTGAAAACCACACTTTACAGTAAAATTCCTCGAAGCACTTTAAGACAGACGTCTTCCCGACGTGCAAGGCCCTGGATCAAACTTGATCTTGTTGTTATAATCTCATTCCAGATTGCAGGACAGTCAGGGATAACGTGTGCAACAGAGACTCCAGTGCTGCGACCCCACAGACAGCCCAACCCGCATGTGCTTCCCCGCACACACAGGGGCACAGACCAGACCTGTCAGTGTGGGACACGGTGTTGCTGTTTCCAAAGCCCTGTTGCCCTCTTTCCTTCCTTCCCATACCTTCCCCAACCACCACAGTCCATTCACCTTTCAGTCTGAATTTACTATTAAGGTATATTATTATTATTGTCATGATTATGTTGTTATGGTTTTCATAACATGGTTTCTGTAGGGGTAGTTTCTAAGTAGGTTTCAGTGATGGGTCAACCAGATCAATAACACTGCCACGTTACACATGAATGAATGGATGTAACTTTTCTTAGTATGTTTGAGCTTCCTAAAATAGTTACTTTTTGCAGGAGGTTGATATTTCGTTCACCAGGTATTTCGTCAAACCATTTCTGAATAGACTTATTAAACACTTCCAGTTGCACCGATAATTATAGAAACTGTATTTGCTTTACATTGCCACCTACAATTATTATTATTATTATTATTATTATTTATTACATTATTATTGCAATTATTTATTATTATTGATGTTATTATTATTGATGTTATTATTATTGATGTTATTATTATTGATGTTATTATTATTGATGTTATTATTATTGATGTTATTATTATTGATGTTATTATTATTGATGTTATTATTGCTATTATCACGATTGACGTTATAATAATAATAATAATAAGCACCTACCTGTGTGTGAATGATTTTGTGGCGACACAGAGTGCTGGCCTGACGGAATCCTTTGCCACAAACTTTACAGATAAACGGCCGAGCCCCCGTGTGGACTGGCATGTGGCGGGTTAGGTTATAGTGGGCATTGAAGACCTACAGAGAGACAGAGAGAGAGAGAGACAGAGAGGAGAAGAGAGAAACACGGAGAGATAATCACACTTCCCTCCTGGCAGAGAGACCGAGAGAGGAAACTCAGTGGATCGGTTCTCACTCCACTCTACATCTGTGCAGTTTTCAGATTTGCCAAATTCCTAAAAACACTGAAGCTGAATTCCTCACTCCGAAGACAGCTTTTCCGCCAATTCCTTTCGTAAAAGGGGCAGAAAACTGGGCTTCGAGGTTATGAGCGATTTTCACTGAAATGATATTTCTAAATAGGAGGATTTCACCCCGCGGGTGTGCGCAAATGGCTCAGCGTGCGGTGCTGTGCGGTGCTGTGCGGTGCTGTGCGGTGCTGTCAGAAGCACCCGGTGCTCTTTTAAACGTAGGATGTAATCGTTATTGTTACGGATTGTAAAATGCAAACAGCAAAGGCATGAGAGGGGAGAGGAGTGGGAGAGAGAGAGGGGGGGGAGAAGAGGAGAGGGAAAGAGGAGAGAGGAAAGTGGAGAGGGGAGCAGAGGAATGGGGAGGAGAGGAGAGGAGTGGGAGGGAGAGAGGGGAGAAGATGAGAGGGAAGAGGAGAGAGGAAAGAGGAGAGGAGAGCAGAGGAATGGGGAGGAGAGGAGAGGAGTGGGAGGGAGAGAGGGGAGAAGATGAGAGGGAAGAGGAGAGAGGAAAGTGGAGAGGAGAGCAGGGGAATGGAGAGGAGGGGAGGAGAGGAGAGGGGAAAGGAGAGGAAAGAAGGGAGGAGAGAAGGGGAGAGGAGAGGAGGGGGAGGAGATGATGGGGAGAGGAGAGGAGGGTGATGGTGGGGGTGGGGTGGTGGGGGGGGGGGGGAGAGGAGAGGAGAGGGTGGTAAAGTAACAAAGCCCATTGGGCACACACTTGCCTTCCTGCACACTTCACACGTAAACACTTTGGCTCTGGTGCCCATCGCGCCTCCGCCGCTCTTGGAGCCGCTTTTGCAGCTGATCCTGTCGGGGAGAAAGTGTCCCGTGTCCCTGCCGTGCTGGGCGAGCTCCCTGTAGGGCACGGCACCCCCCGGGGGGCGCTCACCGGGGGCCAGCAGCAGCTTATTGCCCCTGTCCACCAGCAGCGCCTTGTGTTGAGGGCTGAGGGCAGAGCCCAGCAGGTAGGAGGATGGAGCCAGGTTGAAGATCGCGGCCGGTGAGGGGCGAGGGGTGTCGATGGCGCAGTTGAGGTAGCAGAAGGCCCCCATTGAGTGAAAATAGGACTGGTTGACCACGCGTGGTCGGATGAGTTGGTATTGGGACAGCGGCTGCCCACACGTGTTGGAACCATCCGCCTTGGAGGAGCCTCCGGAGCTCAACCACTCGCTCCTGTGGTGGTGGTGGTGGTGGTGGGACATCTCCGGGTTGGCTTTCCTCAGCTCCCCGCCGCCGCCCGATGCCAGCCTGGATCCGTAAGGCAAGGGCAGGACTGGGATCATGCAGGGCATCGGGGCCAGCAAGCAGCGAGGCTCTCTCTTCACCGGGGCCCCTTCCAAAGAGGCTAAGAAGGGCAGCGCCTTGGGCTCCGGGCTCCAAGCCATGATGCTCTCGATGGAGAAGGGCAGAGGTTTGGGAGCGGCGACTATTGCTCCGCCAGCGGGCAACCTCTCTCTGCCAGGCGCTGTGCCCACCCGAGCTTTATGCAGATGATACTCGCGACTCTCCATGACTGGTTACTTGTTCTCTTTGGCGAGGTTCTTGGTTGTTTCACAAGACGCCCTCTCTCTGTCTCTCTCCCTCTCTCTCTCTCTCTCTTCCTCCCTCCTCCACTACCCCCACCCACCCCTTTTCTCCGAGTTAAAGATCCGCTCAGGACATCCTCAGCACACGCCGGGGGTCGAGCCAACCCATTGCTCCGAGATGGACTTCCAGAAAAGCGATCTGCATAAATCAGCCCCTGTCCCCAAAACCTCTGACCCCAACCCCCAGCTCAATGCCCTCAGCCTCTCCCCCAGCTCAATGCCCTCAGCTTCTGCCCCCCCCTGTCAAAACCCCTGCCCCCAGCCCCTGCCCCAGCCCTTGCCCCCAGCCCCTGCCCCCAGCCCTGTCCCCAGCCCCTGCCCCAGCCCTTGCCCCCAGCCCTTGCCCCCAGCCCCTGCCCCAGCCCTTGCCCCCAGCCCCTGCCCCAGCCCCTGCCCCCAGCCCCTGCCCCCAGCCCTTGCCCCCAGCCCCTGCCACAACGCTGGGTGCGGGTCAGCAACACTCTCTTGAGACGCGAGCTTCAAAACGCATAAGTAAACTGGATTTCCAATGTGCGATCGGTGGGCGCTGGTGAAACTTTACTTTATATCTCGGCAGTAGGCTGGCGTTGTGCTTTTTTCCCTTGTTATTGGAGACTGAGAAACCCTCCGCCCAGGGAGGGTTGGTGGTGGGTGTGTGTGTGTGTGTGTGTGGTGGGTGGGGGGTGGGGGGTGAAGATGTAGACGCACCTCCTTTATTCCTGATCTCAAAGCAATCTCTGTCGCCGCGTTTGACTGACACACACCGTATCCCACTGGAGTTTGAAGCTGAACCAATGGAGTTAAGGATTCAACTCAAGCATCGTCCTTTGTAGATCCCGATCCCCTCCTCTCTTCTCTTCTCTCTAACCTTCCCTTCCTCTCTATTTCTGCCTCGGTCTCTCTCTCTCTCCATCAAACAAAACGACATATCTCCACCCGACAGTGTGTTTCCCCCAAACACCCCCCCCCCCACACACACACACACCCCACACACACACACACCCCACACACACCCCCCCCCCACACACACACACACCCCCCACACACACACACCCCCCCCACACACACACACCCCATACACACACACCCCACACACACACACACTCCCACCCACACACACACTCCCACCCACACACACACACACACCCCACACACACACACACCCCACCACACACACACCCCACCACACACCCCCCACACACCCCCCCCCCCACACACACACACACACTCCCACACACACACACACTCCCACCCACACACACACACTCCCACACACACACACCCCAACAAAACCGAACCAATCGCTTCATAATTGATCAAAATCTACCCACTCCACCCTGGGTTCTCTATCCCCCCCCACCCCCTACCCCCCCACCACAGGTTCCACAAGTTCACTGACAATATAAAAATAACACACACGCGTGTTACGGTTTGCAGTCGAAGTGTCAGGGAAATAATTGTCCTCCCCGTCCCTGCCTCACAAACACAGTCACTACATCTTCCGAGAGAGAGCACATGTAAGGCTGTCGCTCTGCTGGGGCGGGAGCCGCGTTAACAGGTGAGTGTAACAGTGTATATAGGAACGATCCTCAGCGTCCCGTCGTGAGACAACCTGCAGTGAGGGCGATCTGCCCACTTGTGTGTGTTTACGTGTGTATATATATATATGTGTGTGTGTTTGTGTGTATTCACGTGTGTATATATATATATATGCGGTGTGTGTGTGTGTGCATATATATATAAGTGTGTGTGTGTCGTGGCAATGTCTCAGAACAGAATTTACACCAGGTCTGAGTTATTATTTTTTTGCTAAACGACTCCCTTAACCAGAGCTGAAGAATAATAAAAAGCAGCGATCAACAGGAGCACTGGGGCTGCGGTTATCTTCTGTGTGACAGCGAGCATTTGCTCCCCTCCTTTCTCACCCCCTGTAAACCTCTCAGCTGCTCTGCTCAGCTGCTCGGCCACAGGACAGTACTGTTACCCGATCTCTTACCTGTTTCAATAGGATATCTGTAAGGCGCGGATAACGTGTCTGGTTCATAGTGCCGAAGCCTCACATCACTTCTGTTGGGTTCCAGTGAGCAGGAAGGCAATGGGCATTGAAACAGAGGTTGGGGGGAGGTATTTTCGTGTATCATTTTCCAGCCTTTCCTACTCTTATCAGCCCGAACTCCAAGGCTGTTTGCGTAACGTTCCCAGTGCGCAAATTGGCTGCTGTGTTCCCCTGCAAAATACAGTCACTGGACTTGACATTGAATCCTGGGCACCTGCTTGAGACTTACTCCCAACCTGAAAGGCGCTGCAGAAAATGCAAGGAATATTACCGTTATATAAAATTATTAGAATACGATTACAAATTGTTTAATATATTAGCTGAATTAAATTTCAGCTAATATAATCACCTTCAGATGAGATGTCAAACCAAGGTCCAGTTTGTGCCTGTTCAGGTGGACATTAAAGATTCCGCTGTGATATTGGAAAAGAGAAGTGAGTTTCTCTCTCCCAGTGTCCTGGCAGACAATCCCCCAGATAAAATTGATCATTCACTCCATGGCTGTTTGTGAGACTACTATGTGCAAATTGGTTACCGAATTTGTCTAAAAAAATGCAGTCACAGTACTTTAAAGTGTATCCTGTGAAACACTTGGAGATGTCTCAGTGCCATGCACTGTATCAAATGGGAGGATTATTATAAAGTAAACAAATGTCTACCTTAAGTCATTGTTTTGATAGAATATTAAAACCAAAAGACTGGCACATCAGTTTTCTAATTCATATAACACAAAGGCAAATAATCCAATTAACCTACATCTATCTACAAACCCCTTCATGTCCTGGCACACTCTACCCCTCCAACATGCTTACTCACCACCCCACCGCATCTGCTTGGCTGGCTTTGACCTCCTTCATGTCCCTTGTCTCCTCTGCTCTACCATCGGTAGCTGTGCTTTCAGCCACTATGCTCCAAAACTTTGGAACTCTCTCCCTCAATCTCTCCACCTCCCTCATTCCCCATTTTCAGATCATGCCTGAAGAACTTTCTCTTCAACCATGCTTATAGTTACCTTCCCCTGACTCAGTGTCAGATTCTGTCACTGTTAAGCGCTTCAAGACACTACCCCCCCCCCCCCCAAGAAGGAATGCTGTGCAAAAGCAAGATGTTCTTGTTATTGAAAAACATGAATTTAAAAAAGTTAACATTTTAGCAGAATACTAATCTTTCATCTGAGACAGCATCATTAACAGCACCATCATCTCAAAGCGCTTCACAGGCAACTGCTATCCAGAGTAGTGACTGTGCTTTGAGAGGCAAATGCAGCAGGCAATTCACATGCAGAAAATGTCCTGCAAACAGCCAGGAGGTGAATGGGAGATTGTTGGCCAGGACACCAAATAGAAACTCCGTTCTCCTTTCCAATAGAGATCTTTACCATTCCTCTGCATAGACACAGATGGGACCGTAGCTTAACATCTCATTTGGAAAACATCACCTCTGACAATGTGGTGCTTTCCCTACTCCACACTCACCATTAAACTTAAACGCAAGTTGGCCTCAGTTTCAACCCACAACCTGCTGCATGATGTGCAAATCTAAAATAATAAGCAGAATTGCTATAAATGCAATCTGTAGGCATCTGAGAGACAAACAGTTGGCGTGACTCATCAATAACATCATCATGCTAATGTCATGGTTCCGACAATGTGAGTGATTAGCTTTGGTGAGGAAGCATTATCAATCACTGTGGCTAGTGCACCAGCCACAAATACTTCTTGCATTGTTTTATTCCGGAGTTGGAAAACTGGAAAATTATCAGATCAAATCGATTGTTTACCTTTCAGATGTTTGTGAGATGTGCTGTGGGTAAATTAGTGTTGCGTTCATCTGACTGACATGCAGTCTCACTGTCACACTCCACATTTACCTTCTTTCACAATCACACACCTCGACAGTCCCAGACAGGTTCAGATGAAAAATACTCTTCGGGCCATCCAACCTCATCCCTCCAGAACACCCACCCTACCATCCCCACATCACAGCATCAAGCTTCTTTTTAAATGATTCTCAGAGTCCTGGCCTCAACCACCCTTCCTGGCAACCTTGTTCCAGTCATTAATTAACTTCTGGTTAAGAAAAATTCCCCGATCTCTGTCCTGAAATTGTTCTTTATAACTCTAAACTTGTTTCCTCTTGTGTCCCTATAAATAAGGTAACAAGAGTGTCATGAGCAGCCAAATGCTGAGACAGGCTTTACACTGGGCTAGTCCTGGCTTTTGCTTGATTATGGTCTTCCTATCAGAAGGCAATAAATTGGGCTTAATCTGTGATGAAACCAACCTGCCTTATGGGAGGTTATTGTTTCTTATTATCAGATCAGAAAGTTAATCGGTTTAAGCTTTCCTCTTCAGTCTGCATCTTGTCCATCCCTATCCCCCTCACTCTGCGATGCCAGTTACATGTCAATCATCTTACAGCCACCCACCTCATCCTTAGCCTTGCCCTGAATGGAGAAAGAAAAAAAAGATTATTGGCAAAGACGATTAGATGCATGTAAATGTCATAAAACTCTTAAGATTTAATTTATTTTCTATAATAAAACGTATAATTCCATTGCCTCTCCCAGACAAAGTGATTGAAAGCTATAATCACTCCCACTCTGCTAAACAGACTAATCCTAATAAGAAGCAAATCAGAAGCTCTGAGGCAGCACCACACTATGCCTTTTTATCATAAGAACTTGTTATGTCTCAATAAGCCCTCATCCCAACCGTACTCTGGAAATAAATAAACAATTATTTTCTCAGAAAGCGTTTGAAGGTATTGGATAATTACAGAGACTTGGGCGGGCAGCGTCTCAGACACACGAACAATCGTCTCTGTGCACTTTAGTACCTAACAAATTCATTTTTAATCACTTTTAATTCACAGGCTAATTCCTTAATCA